TGCGACAGGCCAAGATTGTTTAATGTCACCAAAAGCTGCTTCTGAAGTCCCCACGGCCTCCCAAAGCCCAGCGGCGCCCCACACTCCGACCCTGGGCCGAGGCTTCTCCAAGGGAGATGATATCCTCTTCTTTGATACCAGCCCCCCTCCAGCTCCTTCTCCCAGCACCCTCAACCTATCAGCTGCCAAGCTGGCTGCTCTGAAGAGGCTAAGGGCTAAAGACACGGGGCTGGTGAAGGAAGACCCCAACGCTGTGAAGAGGAAGAGGAGTGACAGCAGTGAGATCAATGCCCGAGTAGAGCGGAATCGCACCTCACCCAGTGGTACGCATTTCAGTTTTTTCCAATGTAATTCATATATCTAGATAGCTATCCTCTTTCTTTTTTTTAACTTTCTTGTAAAGTTTTAAATTAAAGATAACAATAAATTGTTATTTTAGCAGTACAGTACCTCACAGGATGCAGGATATTGTTGCCTCTGTACCCTGACTGCATAATGTTATCTTTTTGTTGTTTGTTGTGCTGCCACAGATTCTTGGGAACACAGGTCTTTATCTTTTTATGCTGAAGTAAACTTACCGTTGCCTGTTTTATGGTTCTTTCCTTTGTCTGAAGCCTCAGCTAATGAGGAGGAGGAGCCGGTGCAGAAAAAGAAGCGAGAACAACTCGACTATGTCCAGTCAGAGGAGTTTCAGAAGATCCTGAAAGCAAAATCTCGCCACGGGATTATACTTCAAGCGGTATGACCAGTGACATTTGATGATGCATATAAAAAACCAAATTTAGTGCAAATTTCTAAGTTTGCTGACTTACAAAGAATTGAACTTGCTCTAATTTTTATGGTAGTTTCATTTTAATGGGAAGAATCAGAACCAAAATGCCAGAAAAAAACATTTTAGTTATAGTTATAAGGTCATGGAGTGGCCTCAGCCAGTCTCCAGGCTGCAGTCCTGTAGAAAACCTGTGGAGGGAGCTGAAGCTTTGAGAGTTTCTGTAAAGAGGAGTGGGCTAAAATCCCTCCTGAGATGTGTGCAAACCTGGTGACCAAGTACGACAAATGTCTTACTGGTGTAAGAGTCATGTTTTGCTTGGGGATTAAATTCATATTTCTCTTAATGACTAAGGTATAAATATGTATGTGATATGGTTGGTTGATAGTGTCTCTCTTCATTAAAATTAAACAAATATAATTCGATTCACTTTTGTTTATACAGTCCCAAATCACAGCAACAATCACCTCAAGACACTTTATATTGTAAGGTAGACCCTAGCATGTAAGGTAGGTAAGGTAGGTACCTTACCCTAGTAAGGTAGCATGCGGCCAGTTAAAAATTAGAAGGTTAATTTCTTTGGAAATGAGCAAGCTTACAAATTCAGCATGGTATCCAATAAACCTTTTTTCACCCCACTGTATATTTCTTAATGAATAGCTCTCGCTTTCTCTTTCAGGCGGAGTACCAGCTACAAGAGCGCTACTTCAGTGTTCTGGTGAAGAAGGAGCAGATGGAGGAGAAGATGAGGAACATCAGAGAGATGAAGTGTCGGGCTGTCACCTGTAAAAAGGTACTGAGCCAGAAGTTGAATTCACCACTGACCCAGGTGTGCTGTGGTTGTCTATCAGAAGTCACTGAAGTAAACCGTTGTTACTCTTCTGCTGGTTCCAGTGTAGTTACACCTACTTCAAGCCGGCGGATCGTTGTGTAGAGGAGAACCATGATCTGCGGTGGCACGAGGCAATGAAACGCTTCTTTAAATGTCCTTGTGGACAGAGAGCCATTGCTCTGGACAGACTGCCACACAAACACTGCAGGTATGACATAGAGGTGTGAATCACCATACATCCCACGATACGATATTATTGCAATTTTTTTAAATATTTTGCGATATTCAGATTCTGTACATAAAGGTAAACTTTATCAATATTCATTTTATCTAATATCAAAGTCTCACACTCAGTCTTTCTCTCATTTCAGTTTTATTGTTGACAAACTGAACGGTTTGTATTACAGTCTAGTCCAACTTAACTGAATCAACCATCTGGTACAATTATAGCTATTCTGAACTATGCAATTTATGAAAACTATGCAGCCCAACAAGCCTGTGTGTTGCAGGACCGCGTCCAAACCAAACAAACCCACCCAGAAAACTCTGGACAAGCTGTTTGTGAGAGGCTCGGCTCAGCTCGTCAGTCAAGCCAAGAGGCTCGGTAAGGACTGCTAGATTCCCTCACACTCACAGATTTGAATCATTCCTCGTGGAAGTTGATGTTTACAAGCCTGATGTCGTAGGTGACAGATATATAGAATTGCATAGGAGTATTTTTTGCTTCAAACCCTTTTTTCCTTACCCTGACTTTCAGATCTAAAAATTGTTTTCTCCTTTGATTAAAATACTGATGTAGTTTTCAATCCTGTCGGTAATTTTAGGAGAGATCGATGAACAAAGGCAGAAGGGAGTTCCCTATTTCAACTGTTTTTGCTTGTGTGTGTTTGTAGCCATGCAGTCTGGTGAAGTTGCAGGTTGCTCAGATGAATTTAAGAGCCTGATGTCAGCGCCAACACCTGGAGCTTTGCAGCTGAAGAAGCATCTCACGCAGGGCAGCCAGTCAGGTACACAACCTGCACATCTTTTGCACTTTTTGGCAAGCTAGGTTATATTAAAGATGCGTTTCATTACAGTGTTGTGAACTCAGTCATCTGTCTCACACACACACACACACCAACAAAACAAATCTTATTTGGCATCCTCAGTTTCCAAAGAAACATCGGGAGCTCCTCTTCAGTCCATCTCGGCCTCAGACCTGCTGAAGCAGCAGAAACGGATGCAGCGGGAGCTCCTGGAGAGCCGGCGGAAAAGGGTGGAAGAAGTTCAGAGAAGGTCGCTGCAGAACTCGGGCGGTGCGACAGGCCAAGATTGTTTAATGTCACCAAAAGCTGCTTCTGAAGTCCCCACGGCCTCCCAAAGCCCAGCGGCGCCCCACACTCCGACCCTGGGCCGAGGCTTCTCCAAGGGAGATGATATCCTCTTCTTTGATACCAGCCCCCCTCCAGCTCCTTCTCCCAGCACCCTCAACCTATCAGCTGCCAAGCTGGCTGCTCTGAAGAGGCTAAGGGCTAAAGACACGGGGCTGGTGAAGGAAGACCCCAACGCTGTGAAGAGGAAGAGGAGTGACAGCAGTGAGATCAATGCCCGAGTAGAGCGGAATCGCACCTCACCCAGTGGTACGCATTTCAGTTTTTTCCAATGTAATTCATATATCTAGATAGCTATCCTCTTTCTTTTTTTTAACTTTCTTGTAAAGTTTTAAATTAAAGATAACAATAAATTGTTATTTTAGCAGTACAGTACCTCACAGGATGCAGGATATTGTTGCCTCTGTACCCTGACTGCATAATGTTATCTTTTTGTTGTTTGTTGTGCTGCCACAGATTCTTGGGAACACAGGTCTTTATCTTTTTATGCTGAAGTAAACTTACCGTTGCCTGTTTTATGGTTCTTTCCTTTGTCTGAAGCCTCAGCTAATGAGGAGGAGGAGCCGGTGCAGAA